AAATACATGTTCGTCAAGGTTTAAATGTGAAAGTTTAGATAGCAAACGCTTGTGGGGAACTTTGTCGAAGGCCTTCTCGAAATCTATGAAGATAGCATCGACGGGGACGTTAATGTCTAATTTAGAATTAATGTCACTTAGGAAGAGTGCCAATTGAGTGTCGCAGGAGAGACCTTTTTGGAAGCCATGTTGATTGGGATGAAAGAACTTTGCAGATTTCAGAAAGCTAGCTATGTGCGTGTAAATGATATGTTCCATTATTTTAGAGCAAACACATGTAAGAGAGATTGGACGAAACGCGTTATCTGAGGCTTTCTTGGGGACAGGTACCACTTTTCCTGTTTTCCAATCTTGGGGAACAGAACCTGTTGAGAGGGACTGCTGGAAGATATGGCTAAGAATGATGCTAGAGAGGTGTTTGGTGTTTTTAAGAATTTTTGCATTTATGCCGTCAACGCCTGAGGCCAAAGATAGCTTCAGGGAGTCAATGACGTTTGAGATGCCGTGTGGTTGGAATGTAATGCTGGGCATGATGGAGTGCAATTTAGTAGAAAGGGACACAGGGCCGTCGTCTGGCTCGCGGGTGAATACTGAGCAGAATGTGGAGTTAAGGGACTCGGCAACCTTGCAGTCAGGAATAGCAGTTCCTGAGGAGTCAAGCAAGGAAACTGTAGGGTTTACGTGTTTGGGGTTAATGGTCCTCCAGAACTGCTTAGGGTTAGTGCGAATCAGAGCTGGCAGTGTCTACGAGAAGAAGGTGCGTTTGGATTTAGACAGGAGTGAATCGAACTTTTTCGATGTTGCTCAATATTTATCCCATGTGTGTGGGTCGGTGGATGTTTTTGCCGCTCTAAATTGCCTATTTCTTTTTCTTTTGAGCCGTTTTAACTTAACGCTGAACCATGGGGATGCGATCCGCTCTGTTATCGTTTTTGTAGGTATGTATTTTGCAATCAAACATTGCAAAATACATACCTACATACCTGCAATCAAACGGGTAACAACTATTGAGCGATAGGTGGCGTGTTCACGAGCGGTAATGCCCACTATGTTGTTGAGTGCTGTTTATTATTGTGTAAAAATGTCCTAGCGTGTTGCTCACGATTGATGTAATAATAATTAGGCTGACGATATTGCCGATTAAAAAGTAGTTAAATATATGTGTATTTCGGTTTCTCCCAAATGCGTCTACTGTGTCCGTTTTCTCCAAGAGCGTAGTGATGGCGCTCGCCAATTCGAGACCCCACAGCCTTCAAGTGAAAAGGCTTTGCAAGTAAACAAATGTTTGAAATGAAACACATGCATGGTAAACCGTGATGCTTCTCAAATGGTATAGAGAGCTTTGTGCTGAAGGCACAAACCTATAGCAATGAAGCAGTTTGCAATCCACAATTTCTTTAAAAGGTCTGATCAGCAGTAAATGGCCAATTAGGTTGTGCATTTTACATCACTGATTTCTGTTCACCGAGTGCAGTTGGGGCTTAAAAACACTTGAAAAATTTTTAAATGTGAAAAAATCAATGCCTAATCATAATATGCAGTGCCACGCCACTCAGAGTCATCTATCTGAGGACTTCTGATAATTCAAACGTCTTGATAATTCAAGCAATATTTAGCGGTTCCTTTGAGTTTGAATTAATGAGAGTTGATTGTGTCATGGTTCACTCACAAGTAAGCTATTCATGAGTCAAATTTTCAAGTTGGACCCACCTAAACCTACAGTTCATACCCAAATATAAATTAGCTAGAATGCGGTGATGTTCATGAGCGGCAGAAAGACACGCGATGAGTCATTTGCTCGCACAGGTGAGAGCGTACTTGCCGGCGTCGCTTTCAAAAAAATAAAATGCAACTACAACGAAACATGGACACCACGATGTGCACTGTGCGGCGATTCATGCTAAGCATGGCTACTTTGTATTCTGTGTTGTTTCGAACAGTACACAACATTGATATCGTTGAGACTATAAAATCAACCCTTTTACGATGAATTTTCAGTGTTAGCTTTCATGTTTTGCCACCTATTTCAGGCGTCAGTACACTTATCTGCCACTGGTGTTCCCGGTAACCAGGGTCCTTCGACTAGTCTAACGTCTGAGTATCGCCTCTGTGCCATTCGTCTTCGCTGAGCTTTACATCGCCTTTGATGAAGTGGGCAGAACAAACCTACGCGCTCTTAGTGGAAATCCAGTTCTCTCACGTCGTCACTGCAATGTAGGCGCTCTTTCTATCGTCATCGGTCTGAAAACAGAACATTTTCACTAACATATAAAATTAATTCAGGCATGAACTGCATCCTGGCTGGACAAAGCTGTGCTTGAGTTGCCAGCGCTACATCAGAATAATTTGATCCACATAAAACCTAAAAACACAAGCCGCCGCGGCCATCAACAAAGGCTAAAATGACGCAAAAACAAGATAAACCAAAAATTTCCACAGATGATTTTCCGGTAAATGCATAATGTTGCCAGAGACCGGTATACTTTGGCGAAATTGTCTATAAAGATGAGCACAAAATGTGGGAGGCGAAGAGAAAATAGCCAACCTAAAACAGGACAGCAAGTTTCGTTTCCACATTTTTCTTGACTTTGTAAAGCATACATCGCTATGACTGTCTTTATTAGCGTATGTGTCAGGTAATCGTTAATACACTCAAACCTCATGATAACAATGTTGTCTCCTGCACAAAAATAGGTTTGTTATATCCAGAAATTCATCATAAAGTTTTGTTTTCAACACCATAGCTATTGCAAGACTATTTTTAATTTACTTCATTATAACCAATATTTTGCTGTACCCGGTTCATTATAACGAGGTTTAAGTGTACAGCATTTTAAAAGCGGAGCTGCATTAGTTTTGCATTGTTTGGAAAAATAGAGTTGTTGCTATTACTGATTACACACAGGTCATTAATCTGAAACCTCATTTATCAAGAAGGCTTCGTGTAACTAAAGTTTGAGGCATTTGAAATCTTAGCTAATAAGGTGCGAAAAAAAAGTCAGGATGGGCAATAAGAACTGTTTCTGAATACGTAACCGAGTATTCATACAGCCTTGGAAATGACTGCACTACTGACAATTTAAACCAAACAGCAAGTGAAAGGAGCCTAGCTTTTATACACAAGACCTTGATTGCCAAAAATGGCGGCAGACCTAAGCATAATCTCAAAGCTTGTCTCTCGAGGACTACAAGAGGATGATGCCTATAAGCAGAGCTCCAGCGCATAAGATGCTCTTGAATTCAAGCACTTGGCGAACATGCATGCACTGCCAGTGCCTTATCTGATTCCTCTTCCCCTTAATCTCTGCTTTACCTTTCGCAGGATTTCCTAACCCTCGACAAGCTGCATGTTTTGGGTGCGTCTTCTCTCCCTCTTTTCCCTCCGTCCTTGTGTATCTACGCATGGCCACAAAATAATAATAATAATAATAATAATAATAATAATAATAATAATAATATATTTCAACCAGTGTGGTCCCCGACAGCGCCTCCGATAACAATGATAACGATAACGGTAGGCAGGTTTCGAGGAATTACAACTTGCTGCCGAATCATCCATGGATAATGGCCACAGATCATTCATTCTGTGACATCACCCATGAACGACGGTTCACCTGTACCTCTTGGTTGAAAGTGCGAATTTTCATGAGGGTGCAAATGTGCACATGCTATCTGTAGCACGTCTGATAGAAAGACTTCAGATGAGATCAAACAAACAATGCGTTATCTTGATTGATGAAGCACACACGAGAAGACAATGAAGAATAAGAACCACATGACAGGCACTGACAGGTGCACTTGAGCAGACAGGCTTCGAGGCCATTTTTCATTTGTTTGTTTTTCCTTCAATATATGCCACGTAACAACTCTGGGGCACTGGCCAAGAATGCGAAGTATAAATTTAAAATAATATTTGTAGAATGTTAGGTGATTTAAAGTAAAGTAAATAAAATGGCAAAAATACGTATGTTTCTTCTTTGTCTTCCTCTTATAAGTTCTGTGTCAACCAAGATGAACACATACCAATTAGTTCAAGCTTCCATTCTCACACAAACAATGCTCCTCAAGCGAGTGAAAACCCTTTTTTAAAGTGCAAGTAAAATTTTGATTAATCAATAACAATATTACTTTAAAAATTATTCAATGAAAACCTATATCAATTAATGATTAATTGATTAAGCATTTTAATTGTCCATCTCTAAGGGGGTACTGCCAATTGGACGTTGAGCGTATCTGTCTTTGGTCAGTTGGAATAGTTCAAATAGTAAAATTCCAGTGCTAATCGAATCGAATAGCATATACTGCTACAAAAATATTCAAAACCCCGAATATTGGCAGACCCTTAGTTGCTAGGCTGTTATAGATATGTGCTTACATTTTAAGTTGTTGAGCGGTGAAGCTGTGGAAACTTTTGCACCTCACGATGCGGCTTCTGACTCTAGGGGACAAAGGCATGTCACTGTTGTCGGGTGGTAAAAATACTGATTTGATTCCTTTCTTTCTGATTGTGAGCCGAGCACACTGTATATGAAAAAGCATGTTTGCCGGAGTCCGCTTCCGTTGCTCTATGGCCATTGCAGTTTTTATTGAATCCTTAGATGCTCTGTTGCCTTGATAGAATACGGGCTTGGTGGTCTACGAAAAAACTTGTCTAGCAGCTTGAAGATTGTTTCAAAGGTCTGTTTTAATAAAAGCATTGTTTTCAACAATCAGTGATTATATTGTCTTCCCACCACATGCTCTTCCCACACCCATTTCGTCTCGATTTTGACTAAAATGTCCCTAGCACACATCTGTTCCCCAACCCACTCTGCTTTGTTCTTCTCCCTTATGATTACACCTATTGTTTTCCTTTCCACTGCTCGTTGCATCGTCCTCATTTTAAGTTGAACCCTTTTTGTAAGATTTATGCCGTGTTAATAAGTGCATACAGGTAAGATGCAGCTGTTATAACTGATATACTGCCAATCAAGCGCTGCTCTGACCGCTGTTTGACTTGCCTGGAACTTGCTGGGGAAGCGGTGGCCACCGTGCTTGACAGAAAAGACAGCCTGCCGTGGCGCAATGTCAAACTCAATACGTTCCGCCTTGTAGAAGGGCAGCAACTTGTACGAGCCTGGAGGCACAGCGGGGAACATGAACTGTCCATCCTCGCCAGATGTCACAGAGCACAGGAAGTGCAGGTCAGTCGGCAGACTAAAACCACGGGGCGGGCTGCCCTCGCAGCCTCGCAGTACCATCTTGGTGGCTGTCTTGGACTTGCCAGATGCGAGCACAAAGTGCACGCCTCGGATAGGGTCACCCTCTCCAAAGACCTCCCCACGAACATCGTAGCCAGCGACCACGAGGCTCTCGGTGGGGGTACCATTGTCGTCAATTACCTGGGGACATGTTTGGTTTATTAGCTTTCGTGCACATATTACCAGTGAGCATTCTGTTAGTAACACAGATACAGAAAAAGCTCATTAATTTGACACCTATCATTTTCAAAAATGTCATAATTCAGATGTGTTCTTTGGAACCAGCTGGCCTATGTAGTGTTCAAAGGGATAAAATTGATAAATCAGGTCATATTTGGCGGGAACCTGATTAATTTAGATGATTCTCAGAGTGTGCAGATTGCGATGTGATACAAATCTGCATCACAAAGGAGCGAAAGTAGTGTTCACGGCCAACCTAAATGAAGCAGTGCCGCCAACAATGCCATCGTCATCATCATTAACTACTACAGTCGAACCGCTTTATAAGAGACAAATGGGTATAAGAGACACCAGTGTGCCTACAGTAAAATACGGGTTGATTAGAAAATGCATACACGTTCTCATATAAAATCTCATATAGTCGGTCAACTTACTTTGCGTACCCTTGGCATGCAACAACTTCAAAGCTCACCCTTCGCACTGGAAAAAGTGGTCCATTGCTACGTCGTCGTCATGTGTACCGAAGAAAGAGCGAAGAGTGTCCAGCGCATCCAAAACAACCCGCTGGTTGTTTTGGATGTGCTAGCGCATTGTTCCTGCCCTCAGTCTCGCTGTCAGCGGAGTTAGGGCTAAAGCTGACTCCGATGATGCGCCGCGCTCGTACTAATCTGATCGTGCATTTGGTGCGGCCATTCGTAGTAATCTGACCGTGCCGCCGCTTACAGCTTCGTTGCTTGCGACGAAGCATGTCGCCATGAGTGTGCTAGCGCGTCGTTCTTGCCCGCAGTCTCGCTGTCGGCGGAGTGAGGGCTAAAGACGACTCCAATAACGCGCCGCGCTCGTAGTAACCTGATCGCGCATCAGCCTACTGCTCCTAACTAAAGCGTAATTATATCTTAAGTGATCATCGAGCCGTGAACACGTCACGAAGTAGCAATTTTCGAGAGCCATGTCCTCGCGACGCACAAGCAGCAGACGACGATCTCCGGGAGCGAGCATCGGGCCAATGGCGAGGCGAGCTGAGGCAACAAGGCGGCCACAGCGAATCAAGAGCCTCGAAACGACCTTCAAACATTTGCTTTTTGTGCGTTTGTTTTTAAAGAGAAGAGCCAGCTGAGGCGAGAAAGTTAAACACGAATAAATGCTCTTTCCTATGAGCCCAAAATGCCGGCTCCCGGACCCGACATCGCGAAGCCATAATTTTTTGAAGATTGCTGTTTTCTCGCGATTCCCAGAAAAAGTTTCGCTACCTAGGTGGGAAATGAATTTTCTGAAGCACTTCTGCGTGGTTTTCATTGTAGATATTTTGGAATCGGATAGAAAAAGGGTTCCAGAAACTGAAAACTTAATTTTCAAAAAGTCGATTTTTTTGCCATATTTCGCGATCCTAAAGCCGCGTCCGCCCTTAAGTAAACAGAAATGGCGTTGCCCACGCTAGCATGGCAAAAGCAGACGTTTACAAATTTTGAGTGCGCATAACACGCATACGAGCATATCTTCAACAGTTAACCTTTGGTGAGAGGGTAAAATAAGGCCCGCACCGTGGTAGAAAATTCGTTAATGCGGGATCGCTGTTTAAACACATTTCGTTGCCGTGAGCTACGTAAACATGGGCTTCTATGAACGTTCGCCCGGGATCTGTAAATATTTCGTTGTCGCGGGGATTTCGTACTTGCGGGGTTTCGTTATTACGGAATTCAACTGTAGTACGTTGGTTCTTTCCTATTCAACAGACAGGCACCAGAAGAAAAGAGAAACTGTTCAATGAGACGACCTCGTTCATCACAGTGAGAATCGCCCCACAGACGGCTATGTGCATTCAGGTCCCCAAGGAACAGATAGGGTTCAGGTAGTTCATCTAATAAAGACTGGAATTCACGTCTTTCAAGACGGTGGTGTGGAGGTATATACAAAGAGCAGACGGTGACGAGTTTGTTTAGAAGAACTGCTTGGACAGCCACCGCCTCAAGGAATGTCTGGAGTGGTAAATGTGTACACACTACCCTTTGATTACTTATAATGGCCACGCCACCAGATGGCCACGCCACAGCATTATCTCGGTCTTTTCGGAATATGACGTAAGCACGTAGAAACTTTGTATAAGAGGATTTTAGCTGTGTTTCCTGTACACACAGCACTTTTGGTGAGTGTTTCTGTAAGAGCTGTTGGACATCGTCGAGGTTTTTAAGCACTCCTTTGACGTTCCAGTGTATAATTTGTGTTTCCATATTAGAACTAAAGTAGTGCTGTGTGTACATTAAGGTAGTGACTTGTTTAAGCTGAAAGTTTGAGCTTAAGTAACAGGGCTGTCATCAGGCCCTGTTATCAGCTTTTCAGTTCTCTTGGCGCGCTCCAGAGAGCCGCGCCGCTCTTTCGGCACCAGGGGTGCCACCGTATCCATTGCCTCCTAGGAAGCACTGGATGCACACACATGCGAGCTGGTTGTTCGAAGTTTGGGCTTCCGCTGGTGAAGGGAGGCCTTGAGACCTGAGGACTCTGGAGTCTCTGGTCTCAGTTGAATAGTAGGTGGAGTAGACTCAATTACTGCCGCCTTGGAGGCAGAGGCACCGCCGATGGCTCGCTCTACGCAGACCGAAGGAGTAGCGAGGGCTGGTGCGATGCTGCCTTCTGACGCACCGCATCAGCATATGTGCGGTCATAAAACGATGACACTTTTCTTCTTGGTTCTTTAAATGTGATGTTTTCTTTTTTGTTTATTGTGATGATCTCTTTTTCTTTTTTTCAAAAATGAACAGTGTAGAGGTCGCCACCCTTCAGTCATTTAGTTCGGCTGCCCCTAGCATGTGGCGCCCCTGAGATTGTATATATTGTGCCCCGAATAAAGTGGGGGGGCCTTTTTTGTTAGCTGAGCAGCTGTTGTGCGTATCGTCTCTCTCCGCGGGCACGGGCCGCTCGTGCTCCGGGACGCTCGTGCGGCACCAGTCACAAGACATGGTGTCAGAAGTGGCTGCGTAACGCCCCCTCATCCCGAACTCGCCCGTACCGCACGACGATGGCCCTCGACGGAGTGGCGCCGAACAAGCTCAGCCTCAACCTCCAGCCGCCCGCACCGTTCGACTTTGTGAACCCGGGAACCTGGCCAGCATGGCTCAGCCGCTACGAGGACTACGCTGTCGTTTCCGGCCTGACTCAAGCATCCGGCGACATGCAGGTACGCTCGTCGTTGTACTGCATGGGGCCGGAGGCCCGCCCACTTCTTGAGACAGTTCTCGCTCGACACCGCATCACTCGCCTCATTTCAAGCGCTTGCCGCCAGCTTCACCGACCACTTCGTGCATCCGGCGAATGAACTGTACGAGTCGTCGCGTTTTCACCGGCGTGTTCAGTTACCCGACGAGAGCGTCGACGCCTACTACGCCGAACTGTGTAGAATGGTGAAGCGGTGCAACTATCCGTCAGCTGAGGTGGAGCAAAGGCTTGTACGCGATAGATTCGTCGTCGGCCTCCGCGACTCGCGCCTTTCGGACCAGCTTTGCCGGAACGCGAAGCTGACGCTCAAAGAAGCATGGATGCAGGCCCGTCAATCAGAAGACGCTGACAAAGAAAAAACGTTGCCTCAAAACTGTGCAAAGCACTTCCGCGAGCTACACCTCGACGCCGTACGAGATACGAAGTTCGCCTCTCGCCGCCGCAACTACGATAAGCGGCCTTCGCCCCCGCGAAAAGCAGAGCGCTCCTGCCAGCCGTCAACATGTGAATTCTGCGGCCGCGCGCCACATCCACGTTCTAACTGCCCTGCTCGAAACTCCGTCTGCAACTCCTGCGAAAAGAAAGGACACTTTGCAAAAGTGTGCCGCGCGCGGCAGGCAAAACAGAAGCTCGGCTCCATTCAGCTACACGCTGTCAGGACGCTCGCCGCGGCAAAGTTCGTCGACACCACTGTTGACAACTACACAGCGCAGTTCAAGGTCGATTCCGGAGCCGAGGTGTCCGCCGTTCCGAGCGACTTCCCTGCATTGCCGGCCAAGCTCGACCCCGTCAACAGCCTGCTCACCGGACCTGGCGGTCAGCCGCTGGGCGTGCTGGGTTCGTACGTGGTGAGACTTCGGTGGCACGGGAAATGAGCTCTCAGCGCTTGTACGTGATCCAGTCTGTCACCGTACCTCTTCTTGGACTGCCGGCGCATCAAGCTCTGGAGGTTGTAAAGTTTCTCGACGAACTTCAGACTCCGAAAGCAACATTGCGTGCTGAGCTCTTCCAGGGATTGGGCACCCTCAAGGACGAGTACGCTATCCTTCCGAGACCTGGCGCTGTACCCTTCTCCCCAAGTGTGCCTCGTAGGATTCCCATCCCGCTACTCGGGGTCGTCCGTCACGAGCTTGACAAACTGGAGGAAGGAGGCGTGATCCCCAGCGTCGACAAACCAACCCCGTGGTGCTCTGGTGTCGTTGTAGTACGGAAAGCCGATGGTTCCTACCGGCTGTGCGTTGACTTGACTCAGCTGAACAAGGTTGTCCTTTGGGAACGCCACATCCTACCAACGGTAGAGCAAGTCCTTGGCCTCCTTAGCGACGCAACAGTTTTCTCCAAGCTGGATGCAACAGCAGGTTTTCATCAGGTTAAACTATCTGCAGACTCCCAAGAGCTCACAACGTTCATCACCCCATTTGGCCGATACTGCTTCTGCCGGATCCCCTTTGGCATCACCTCCGCGCCGGAGTACTTCCAAAAACAGATGGCCAGGATCCTGGAGGGCCAGGAAGGAGTCGCCAATATGATAGACGACATTCTGGTCTTTGGGCGCACCCGCAAGGAGCACGATGCCAGACTGAACCAGGTGCTGTCTCGCCTTGCAAAAGCAGGCATCACGTTGAACCAAGAAAAGTGTCGTTTTGGTGTCTCCGAAGTCTCCTTCCTAGGAGTCATCGTTTCAGCACAAGGCATCAGTCCAAGTCCAGACAAGGTCGAAGCAATCAAAGCCATGGAGGCTCCAACCGACATAGCAGGTGTCCGGCGACTGCTCGGAATGGTGAACCATCTTGCCCGGTTTTTGCCTTGCATCTCAGAGGTCACAGCTCCCATCAGAGCACTTCTAAACAAGTGTGCGACTTGGGTGTGGCAGCAGGAACAAAATGCTGCATTCGAGAAAATCAAGGAACTCCTGACATCAGACCGTTGCATGGCCAAGTACCATCCATCATACGCCACCACAGTTTCGGCTGACGCAAGCTCATTCGGACTGGGCGCAGTCTTGCTGCAGACACAACCCTCTGGAGAGCGCCGCCCAGTTGCGTTTGCTTCGAGATCAATGACCGAGACAGAGCAGCGTTACAGCCAGACAGAAAAGGAAGCGTTGGCAACAACATGGGCTATCCAACGGTTTGACGAATTCGTCCGCGGCATCACCTTTGATGTTGAGACAGATCACCTACCACTCGTTTCTCTCTTCGGCAAGATGGAGCTGGACATGCTGCCGCCTCGCATACAGAGAATCAGGTTAAAGACCATGCGATACCAGTTCCGAATGCTCCACGTGCCAGGAAAGCTGTTAGCTACGGCAGATACCTTGTCACGCATCACCCAAAAGGCGTCCCTCCCCCTGGACACCGTGGAATTGTTTGTAGCTCAAGTGGTCAGCGGCATGTCAGAAGCCTTTCCGCTAAGCCCAGAGGACGTGCGACAAGCACAAGAGTCCGATGGCGAATGCAGAACCCTCACCTCTTTCTGCCAGAATGGTTGGCCACAGAAGTCCAAGCTGCCACTGCACCTCTCCCAGTATGCCTCAGCAGCAGATGAGCTCTCTGTCTGCGACGGTGTTCTACTGAAAGGCGCCAGGATGGTCATCCCGCATTCTCTTCGGCCGGCTGTTTTGACGCTGTTGCACGAAGGACACCAAGGCATCAACAGGACGAAAGCTCTCGCTCGAGAGTCCATTTGGTGGCCTGGCATTTCGGCAGACATTACCTCTCTGGTAATTAACTGCGAGCAATGTGCTTCCACTCGGGTGAACCTTGCAGAGCCCCTGGTCTCCACGGTCCTACCTGGACGTCCCTGGGAACTTGTCGGCATGGACCTGTTTTACCTCCGCAGCCAGACATTCATCTTGGTGGTGGACTACCACTCCAGGTACCCTGAAGTTGTAACCTTGAGGAGCACAACGGCTCAGGCAGTCATCGACGTTCTCAAAAGCATCTTTGCCCGGCATGGGATTCCGTGAGAAGTCAGATCAGACAACGGTCCACCGTTCCCTTCACGCGAGTTTGCAGCATTGGCGGCATCTTACGGCTTTGACCACGTCACCAGCAGCCCGCACTATGCGCAATCGAACGGAGAGGCGGAGAGAATGGTCAGGACCATCAAGGAGTTGTTTCGCAAAGCAACAGACCCTCATCTGGCCTTGCTCAGCTACCGGAACACCCCCGGAGTCGATGGCTTCAGCCCGGCCCAGCTCTTGATGGGACGACAACTCCGAACCAAAGTGCCGAAACAGGACTCCCAGTTATGTCCTCACCGGGCGTCGCGGAAAAACGTGAGGAGAAAAGATGCAGGCTACAAGCAGAAACAGGCCGCTGACTTTAACAGGCATCACAGAGCTCAAGATCTGTTATCGCTCCGAACAGGCCAGTGTGTCTGGGTACGACCTGATCAGGTCAAAGCTACAGTGCTTAGCCCAGCACGCCGACCACGAAGTTATGTCGTGGAAACTGAGCAGGGTGGCGTCCTACAACCGGCGTCACCTAGTGCCTTTTGCACCTCCAGCGCCAAGGGTGGAACCACCGCCGTCTGAGGAGCAGGAGCCAGAGTGAACACTGCCCCCTTTGGAACCCCAGCGAACTACTACAGTGCAACCACCCGATTCCCTTGTACTGCCCCCTGCAGACAGTGACCGCAGTGATGGTGTGACACGAACACGTAGTGGCCGCCGTGTTGTGCCTCTGAACCACCTGAACTTGTGATGTGCAGTGTCTGGCGTCCTCCGTCTTCCGTCTGGTCTTCAAGGAGGGAGATGTAGAGGTCGCCACCCTTCAGTCATTTAGTTCGGCTGCCACTAGCATGTGGCGCCCCTGAGATTGTATATATTCTGCCCCGAATAAAGTGGGGGGGCCTTTTTCGTTAGCTGAGCAGCTGTTGTGCGTATCGTCTCTCTCCGCGGGCACGGGCCGCTCGCGCTCCGGGCCGCTCGTGCGGCACCAGCCACAAGACAAACAGAACCGTGAGTATGCAGCATGATTCCTACCACAGTTAACAGTGTGCCAGTTCTTCGCAGTTGTCGAACGTGTGACCCACAACTCGACAGAGAGATCAAGTTTGCCGGCCATGACAGCTTTGCGAGCCGTGGCCATATCCTTGACATTGGAAGCAACGGCAGGCGTTGGAATATATGACCTCACGGAAGTCTTTGTATACCCAGTTCGAATGGTTTCCGGCAGATCGCTCGTAACAAAGGTCAGTATACTAAGTGTTTATTTGGCGTGTTCTTTTTTCCCCTTCTTATCTTAACACGCTGTACGTTGGTAACGTTCTGGCTCTTCCACCCTTCCAGAAGTTGAGCTTCAATGAGGTCAAGCAAATCTGCGTCTGACACTACCCCGCGAGCCGAGTTCATAGACCTGTGCGATGTAATACTGATTGGTGTGTCGCCAAAAGTTGGGAGAGAGTTCAGCTTTTCGAATTGGTCTTTCTCTCGTATCTCAAGGAGTAGGTCTCCGCTGGCCATTCTGGTAACCTTGTACTCGGCACCGAGAGTTTCGGTTAACCACCTAGCAACTACGAAGGGGGATACAGTTCTGGCTTACTTCTTACTTTTCTCGCAATGTATACCATAGAAGTGAGTAAAGATTTGTTTTGGCTGGTTGAAAAATTGACGTCTTCAGAGCGTACCCGCTTTTAGGAGGCACGATCACTAAACAAAGGGAACGCTCTATGCATGTTAATTGTATGTTGTTCAGCAGAATTGACGGCCACCCACCACAGAGCCCTACGAGGGGATGCTGCAAGTTTGCAGATGCCGAAAGCTTGCAGACGTCGGCCGTACAACACTGCCATAACCCAATGCGCCTAGACCAAGGTAGGCTATTTGCACAGGGATACCTTTGGCGCCGGAAAAATTGGAAGTAAACGGAAGGGAGAAGTAGACAGTAAACATTAAAAAGTGAGAAAGACGAAAATGTAGGAAGAGAGAGATTTACCGGACACGGCTCAGCCACACACGGCTAGGCATGGGAGGAGATCGAAACCCCCCCTGTTAGCTCGGGCCTGTAGTGTCGCTACACACCAAACGCCTGCTTTCGCTGACGCCCCTGCGGGGAAGCTGAAAATCAGTACTCAGGAAGAGCACTTGAGAAAACGGGAGAATGTGAGACCACAGGCAGTGCCATTTGTGCACAAAATAAGCCATAACCTGAAAAAGGTGGCCCAGAGATGTGGAATTCTTGTTGTGTTTTCCACTCCAAATAAACTGGCGCAGCTGTGCGAGTTTAGGCAATGACCTTTAAGACGTACCATTCATGCTGTCTGGTTGATGATAACAAGAACAAGTTTCTTCGAGCTCTGTGTACTGCCAGCAGTCACTAGTGTATATAAATAGCTTGCCATTATTACGCTCAAGAACATATGCATTGCGGCCGATTTGTTTCGCGGTGCTGCAGAGTGAGGGGTCGTAGGTTAGACTCCCACTAGCTTACCTTTTTCTTCTAGTTTTTTTTTTTCTTTTGCAATCTGTTGGCCAATATTTCACAATGTCATAGTGGTGAAAAAAAAAGGTCAGTGGAGCCTTGGTGGACCCTGGCATAGAACAATTCCTTGTTAAAAAACAGGTGGGGCTGGGTCTGCTTTGTTTCACAGCTTGGCAGACAAAAGCTGCAGAGCCCAGTTCACTGCGTGTGAGCATACTCTCGCTCATTTTAGGCCTGGGGCTGACGCCCGTGCGCTCAGGTTAAAAAAGTGCGTGGCTGTCAGCACACAATGTCTGCATGTTCCTAAAGCCTCCAACGAGAATCCACACACTATGTCATAGACTACCAAACTTGGTATCCTAGACACTACCATTTTGTGTAGCAAACAGGGGAATAACTTGTGTGACAAGAGCATAAATTCAGGTGTTAAGGAGAGGAAAAGATTATAGAGAGTGAGTAGTACCTTGACGGTGGTGCTGGAGCGACCCAAAGTCCAGAGGGGATGAGAGGCCACCAGCGTGTATTCTCCAGGCAGGATGCGTGTGAAAACATAGCCACCTCCTTTGGTGCTCAGAGTCTTCTGCAGCATCTTGCCCTGTTTGTCACGCAACTCCACCGTCACCCCGGGGGGTCCCTCTTGCTGGCCATCACTGAGGACCTGCACTCCACACAGAAAGATTTAATGTGTACGTATTATCACTTGGGGTGCACGAATATTCAACACTTCGAATGTCTATTCGATTTGATCCACACTGGGATTTTAGGGAAGAAGCTCCTTATGGTCTAGGGCAGTTCCATCTCTCCGGCGTACCCAGCAGAGCATATCCAAAAGCAGACAGACAGATGGACGTATGGACGCTTCGCCCATATTATCAACATGAACTCTATGGATATGCTGTGATTATAACTATTGAAACTTCCCAAAGACAAATGCAGTCAACGTTCCATTAAAAGGGACCCCTTCGAACTGGCAGTATGCTTCACGTCATCACATTCTCGAATTGCGGCAAAGCTGCTTTTCAAGCTCCTCTACGGTAACAATGGTATTGACTGGAGAAAACGCTAGTTCCAACATGAAGATAATATACATGGCAGATCGAGAGGTTGGGGCTCAATCAATGCTGTTTTGGACCTAACATTTGGAGTCCGAGAAATCGTATGCCAAAGTTATTTAGCATCCAAAATTTCAAATGTCTTGGTACGTTGATGTCTATGAGGCAGATTTGGAACTCCTTACTTGAAGGGAGCACACCGTTGTCCATCACATCAGTTGGGCTTCTTCTGAAGTGTAAAGTGTTGTCGGCAACACTTTGGTTGTACCAAGTCATACGCTAATGGAATGTGGGTCGGCATTGCCTAATTTTTTATGAGCCAACTATAAAATACCACGCTGCCAGCCCTTCATCAACCTAGTGAAAAAAAAAAAAAAACACATTTTCATGTTGCTACGCCTTATAAGAATATGCTTAGTAATCCTCTTCAACTTTTTCTCCTCTTTATGTTGCCTCGAACTTTTACAAAAATATTCAATTCGATTCGCACTCCCATTTAAGTATTCGAATTTGCTTCGCATCCAAAATTTTGCTATTGACACAGCTTTAGTTATTACTGTTTCACTTTGCTTAACCCTCTGTTGGTTTATCGATATTTTTGCATGATAACGAAAAATGAGCCTGCAGTAGTCTATGTAAATAACGTGTGTAGAAATCGTCAGTGGTGGGAATGCCTTACAGCATTTTGGAGTAGCCATTGGAGCAGGCAAAATCTGCTTATGGAGCAGCTACCTCTGTGCTTGGAGCACACATGAGTGTTTTCCTGATACACACAGAGGAAGAACATTTAGCTTTAATTCAGTTTATAGTTCTCTCCGCTTACATGGTCATCGATATAAATACAGCAAGCCCACAAATAAGTACAAGAAAATAAACAAAAGCAGGATCCTATACAGAAGCGGAGACATAAAACAGCGAAGGATACTGCACTAACTAGCTGGCTGCAGCATTAAGTTCTATCAGTGCACGTGCGCACTCACTCACATAGACGTGTGCACAGGAGGCAAAGAGGGGTAAGAGGGAGGTGCAAAGCGAGCCCCATAACTTGACATGATAGGGAGGGGGGCACTGCAATAAACCTTCGCCCCCTCACAGCTTTTTTGAGATGCAGTACGGTCACAGGGGAGCCGATTGTCTACTGGCTGGCTGCGTGCAGTGCTTCGCCTACTTGTATACCTTGCCAGCCGCTTGCACCCACTATGCTTCAGACCGCGCACAGATGCAGCCAGAAGGCTATTGCGTTAACGCGATGATGCGAGCTTTCTGCAAGCGATGCTCTAGCGGTCCTGGCAGCGGACGGAGACGTGTTAGGGTTGTTGCCTTACGAAAGAGTGCAGTATGCTTCCTGTCACGTGGTGCACCATGACTCAAAACGCTTTACTTCGCAAAACCAAGCTGTTTTAGCTTCTGCAAAGTGGTGCATGCTGAACACGGTCTCGTAAAACAATCGAAGTCGAAGTGATCGGAGCCCCTGTGCGCTCAGGTAGGCACCAGCTATTAAAGGTGTGCAGTAAGCTTAAAGCGACGCTAAGCCACACACCTAGGGTTTTTATCGGTGATGTCATACTGATGCGCTTATCGGTGGTCTCCACATTGCCTTCGTTCTTTGCCAGTGATTACCAGAAAAGGCACTGCTGCAATCGTGCGGAAGTGGGAATAATTGATAGGCCAATTTCGTGCTGTTGCAGCAGCGCAACTGTATGCAAATGAAGCAGCGCAAGTGTACAAGATGGCGATCATCTCATAATTTCGCTCACAACTACTTTTGGTTCAAAAATCCCCTTCTTGCGCCACAATGGCGCAAATTAGCCAAAAACATTCTTTTGAAGCAGCATAGTGCAGTGATTTCCAGTTGGCGCAGGTTGGTGCAACTGGCACAGGTTTCCTACCACTGAATAATTTGAAGCAATTTGCACCAAAATGTGACCATTAGCTTATGAGGAAGAAATTGGAGGTATGTGTCCCATAGTCTCATGAGCGAACCACGCTATAATGCTTTTGCCAAATTTTTTGCACGAAGAGGCTCGAATCAAGCGGTACCAAGGTGCACTTCAGGGACTGTGCAAAAGAACAACTCTTACACAACTACAACTAATTTCGAGCTGTAGTACATCATGTGCTAAAAGGTCTAAGTGCATTAATATAACAAGGTCCCAGAGAAAGTAATAGACAGCATGTCTGCAGACTCATGATCAAAATTTATCGAGTGAAGGATGACTATATAAAATGAGCCTGAAAAGACAGCATGAGCTCATTTGCAAAAGATGGTCACATGAGTGCTTCAAACACTGTGCAACAATCAAGCTTCTAGGTACTGTACTTTACAATCAGCAAGGAGCCCTGACACACGTACCACTGTGACACAAACTAAACGAGTTGTTTTCATCACTTCTCAAACTGTGGAATGCCCTGATATCGCTGCATGAGTATTAACGCCAAAAACAAAGCTGCTATAATTTTATTTCTACAGGAAAACCACAGTGTTTTCAAACTAAAGCAACATACGGCAGCCATTTTTGTGATCGGAAGTGATGCTTTTTCATGTGAGAATGACCACATAGGCTATGCATTTTGAGTGGTTCGACGTGACAAGTCGAGCGTAACACTCGCACGGCCCCACCTAGGCCACACCATTGTGTACTAAAGGTTAACTATAAAAGTACTGTTTATACTTCCTCCTATAAAAAATTATTTCTGTTTTTAAACAATATGACAGTGCAAAAACAATTAAAAAATGGCGCCAGGAGCGCTACACAACAGCCACCACATAAAAGGTGCATGATGATCGGAAACGGTCTTTGACGTCAGTGGGAGTGCAAAAGGGAATGTTTTTTCTGATCGTCTGCAGAGGTTTTGAAGCTTGAAGGCTAGTAACTTCTGTAACCGTGTACCGATTTTGATAATTCTTTTTGCACTCATCTCAGTATTCAGCACTACACAAACTCCAGTGCTGCAGAACGCAGAAGACAAAGTGTTGCGGGGCCCCTTTAATCACGTAGGCCTCGTAGAGCTCTCGTGTCTGGCAGTCCTTATGATGATACAATACCCTGGTTCTTGCCAGAAGTAGGTGGAACACCTTCTTTGTCGCCTTTTCGCAAATACTGCAGCGCTTTGCCACATAGAAATAAACGTCAGATGAACAATTCTTGGAATGTTCCTATAACCTGCTATTTATGCAATGGCCTGTTTGACTGATACACACACGACCCCAAATGAGAGAGAATTCATACACTGCTGCACAAGCGCAGGGGATATACCTTGCCCTGCTGTCAGCATGGAAAACAAAAGGACTACTGCTAGGTGCCTTGTCAATCTTGCTCATTACATGCACGCAAAAATGGGCCATTTTGGGGGAGGGGGGAAAAAAACCTGTGTACACCAAAGCATTTCCCAACGTTTTTGAAATTGTGCGATACCATATGGTGGTAAAGAATCATAGTACAACTTTTTTGCTTGCGGCCGTTGTCAGGAAACATTTCTGTGCTGTCAGGAACCATTCGAAGATTCTTCAACGCAAAACCGTATCCGATAATCCCACATCGGGCTAAAGAATTTGTACATTATGTTACATTTTCTTGTTTCAGCTGTTACAAGATACAAGATACAAATGAAAAAAATTGGCTGAGAGTTAATTCTTGTGAACCTCATTACTTCGAACGAAGGGTATGTTTGACTTGGTTTTGGAAAAGCTATGCACACAAAGTGTCTGGATGCGTGCTTCAGCTCTTGGTAATCTTGTCAGTAACATACTAATGTGGCCTTTTTTTGCTCCGGCATTCCAGCAGGCCTTTGCTGCAATTTCACAGCCCGCTGTCTAGCTGTATCTATTGGTTAAATGGAGTCAACCTGTTGCTCACACTGAAATTCACGCACACATGACTCGGCTGATATTCCATCCAGCGCGAGAATAGGACCAAGTGCCAGCAAAGCAGCTATTAAACATTCGCCTGGTCCAGTGGTACGGTAGCAGTGAGGCTCCGAGTTAGTGCAGCTGCCATGCGTCTCCGTGACTCAACACGTGGCATGACTTGAAGTGACAGAGAAGCAGGGATGAAACAGCTGCCGCCGCGGAGCAGGCCAAGAGCTTAAAGCATTCTGTTATAGGGACTGGCTCTTTATTTTTGGGGCTTGTCCATCACCGTAGCCAGTGGTTCTTCCTGCCTTTGCTAAGAGGCACAGCTGTGCTCCCTTCAGTGATTTAAAGAGTGCTGATTCAGGCAAGTGAGCACGCAAGGCAAATGGCGCTCACTTTAATGCTACTCGTCATGAACCCCTAGAAAGTCAAGGCAACGGCGTGGAGGGCTCAGAACGCTGCAGCAGCACAGGCTCGCCACCAAAACCCTGCCGTGAGAGGTCGTGAGGCCAAAACGAAGAGGGCTCATCAATAAGCGGACCCTGCGGTGAGAGCCCACGAGGCCAGACGGACACATAATGTCACGTTGTTCTCTCGGGTGCTTTTTATACAAGCGTCCCACCATCATCACGTACACTCATATAGACATCCCTTTCTCGAACTTTCCACTACACCCTATCATACAAGATCCTCTAGCTTTGCACAAAGGCGTTTAAAATGCGCTGTGTTTAGTTCTGCCAAGGCAGCACAAAC